AATGAATTAATTTTTGTGTAAGCTGGTTGGTCTTTTGAGCTAATTGATTAAGCTAAACCATTTTTTATTTGAACGATTTGCTGGTTTAACCGTAATTTTGGTGGTTTTATATGTTACGATGATTTTTTCTTAGTCATTAAGTTTTTAAAATTTCATTAATTATTTTCCTTTCAAAAACCAATATGATAATTTTTAAAATTCATATATTTTTATTCTAAAATAGTGAAGTATTAGAACTATGTCATTTTTTTTATTATAATAAAGTATTTGTACTATATATTATAGTAAAGGAACAATTGACTCAAAACCCTTAAATTTATATATAAAATTTTATTTACGAAAGACAAAATATAAAAAAATTAAATGTAATTATCATATTTTTAATAAATAATATATTATTTTATCTCGTGCATAGTACGGGTGTTATGCTAGTATACTTTAAAAGTAAAAGGAGAAATAATGTAATTTTAATTTTTTGAGATATAACTAAAAAAAAAAAATCATAATTAAAGAACTTATGAGTCATAACTAAAATAATATCATAACTAAAGAAGAAAATTAATCATAATTAAAGAAAAAAATTATATAATTAAAGGTGTATATGAATCATACATGTTTTTTAAAGGGGTGTATATTAAAATTTTCCTAAATTAAATTGTTGGTTCTTCTAGTTTCGGTGAGGGTTTTACCATGGTTCCATAGTTTTAATTTTATGAATTTAAATCTCATACTTTCCCTTGTTTTTTAATACAATTCCTTTGTCAGTTATCATTACAAAAAATTTAAATTTCACTTTAATCCATCTAATTTTGAATGTTTTTTCGTGTGAAATACTAACAAATAATAACATAATTGCTACATTAAATCATATATATATATATATAATATAAAATTGTAGAATAATTTTAAATTTATTTTTTAAACATATATAGTTTTACGAAATCACATTTTTATAACATGACTTTAGTCAAAGTATTTCTTTCATCCAACCCCCTTACATGCTGCCAAGGCCAATTTTTAACAAGACAAGTTTTAACTATTAAAATTGTTCGTTTCAGACATTACGTATACCTTCGCATGCATTCAACTCCCTTAGATATTACCAGGGCAAGGGAATTTTCTTTTTGTTATCAAGCACAAACTCTTTTAAAAACAAAATTTTTACATTCAAGTAATTTTAAATTTATTTCTCAAAGTCATATTACACTTTAGAATCAAAACACTTCAACTTATTTACTTTAAAAATACAATCTTAGGAAGAAATTTGAATTTTTAAAAATGATGATATCAGTAAATAAATAACTTACGGACGGTCTGAAAGATATGAAGATGATTTGGATTCTATAAGAGCAATGAGATGGACTTCCTCCTTGTAGAGGCTTGAAAAATAAAATCCTTTAAAAATTCACCATAGATATCATTCTGAAGAATCCTCCAACAATCAAGTTAGAACTATAATTAAGGAAGAAGATAATTGGAGACATAGAAAAGAACAGATAGTGACTATTTACATATATATATATATATATATATATAGGATTTATGTCTCATTGTAGAGCAATTATTCATTGCTCCAAAGATATTGACGTGATAATACCACAAATTAATCTAAGTTATTTATTTTTGCAAGGCGCACAAAAAACCCACACAAATAACAACTTAAATTAATTTGTGACAATGCTACATGGGCCAATTATAATATGAACTTGGACGTTTTTTGAGCCGGATATATCATGGGCTTAGCCCCTTTTTTGACTCTTCTGATATCCTTGGACTTGGCCATACGTACATACATCAAAAACATAAATTTAAAATTACTTGTGTTTCATATTTTATTTATTTATTTATTTTTAAATAACTCATATTTGGTATTAAAAACAGCTCAACAACCAAGGCACCAAAATCTCGTATTTGGTATTAGGTCATGTTTGGCGATTGGTTCAAATAATTAAAAGTTAAAAGTTGATTAATTTTTGCATTTTTTTTCATAAAAAATAAAAACATACTAAAAAAGTCAATTCTCAAATGAATCATTAGCTCCTAAGCAAGTCTACCAAGGTTATCCCTCGTTACATTTGGCAACTTAGATTTTAGGTATAAAAATAAAATAATAAAATAATAATAATAATAAAATAAGTCAAATTACATCCAATTAAAAAGTAATTCTCAAACACAATAATTTTATTTTTCTCATAAAAATCATTAAATTAGGTATAAATAATAATAATAGTAAAAATAAAATAAAAGTCAAATTACATACAATTAAAAAGTAATTCTCAAACACAATAATTTTATTATTCTCATAAAAAATCATCAAACCATTAAAAAAATCATCAAACCATTTTTTATGTAAGATCCGAGCATGTGAATCTCACACATACACACCCTCCGATCTCTCTCGGGAAGTTTTTGTCAAAAACAAAAACAAAAACAAAAATAAAAAAACACACAAAGGCAAGATAAATCATTTTTGTTTGATTTATTAGAACAAAATTAAAATGAATAATTATTCTATCATAATGATTTACAATAAAGTAATGAAAAATATATTATAAATAAAATTATTATTTATTATTGTAAAAAATAGTAAATATATAAGAAGATTAAAAATTTATTATTTCATTTGTTTGAAAAAAGAGTTGGGTTAAAACAAATCACTAAAAGACAAAATGAACTAAAATAATCAATAAAGTAAAATGTCACATTTAATTTATAATTATTTTACTTTTTCTTTCACAATCATCAAATCAATTACCAAAAAAAATAAAAAAAACCCAATCAACTTCTCAAACATAACTATTTTAATCATACTTAATAGCCAAATAACTAATTAAAATAGCCAACACTTCAAACAAACCCATCATCAAGTTTTGTTAAATTTATGTCATTAATTAAGAGGATAATGCTATGTGAAAAAATATATATGAGTAATGGGAGAAGTTTGGCAAGAAAAAAGTAGTCAGATGTCTAGCAATTAAGAAAATTTAATAATTTATATAAATGAGAGTATAAAATTCATTTTATGTAAGTAAAATAATTATTTTTTTTCTTTTTTCCCAATGTGGGATTGTAAAAAAAAAAAAGTAAATAGAAATTAGCCAATGAAAATTTTCTTAATTGCTTAAAAATTAAGAAAATTCAATAATTTTATAATGAGGGTTTGGAGCTTTTAAAATGTTTCTCTCTCAAAACTCCCTTTATAAAATTCACTTTATATAAGTAAAATAATTCACTTTTTATTTCTTTTCCTTGTGTGGGATTGTAGAATAAAAATTAACAATTGTTTGAGCGAGAAGTTTATTTCTAATAAAGAATCTCAGTTCTTTAGTTTATTTCGAATCAAACAAATCTAACCAATATATTTTGGTAAAATTGCGAAAATCACTGTTAAACCAGCAAATTATTCAAACCAAAAACAATTTAGCTTAATCAGTTAGGTCAAAAGACCAACCAGTTTACACAAAAATTAATTAATTAAAATTTTTAAATTTTATTTTATTTAAAATTTAAACTGTCACTAAATATGGAAAACAATCTATTAATTTAAATTTAAAATTGACACAATATAAATTTAAAATTATAATAATCTATCTCAAGATTTATAAGTTTTAAATACAAATTCAAAATTATTTCATAATTTTTGTATTAAGGAGCAGTAAGAGTGATGTTGAGATTATCAATATATTTATATATTTTACAAAAGAATACTTTTAAAGATATATATTATGAGAGTTTCAAAACCTCATACAAAATTATTTTTAAAATCAAAACCTATATGTGAGATTGTAAAATAAAAGTTAAATGGAAGCTAGCCAATAGAGATTTTTTTAATTGTTTAAAATTAAGAAAAAAAAAATTAGTATGAGATATTGATCACAAGGTTTTTCACTAAAAATCTTATCTTACTTATATAAATGGAAATATAAGATTTACGTAAGTGAAACAATTTACTTTTTCTTTCTTTTCCCGATATGGGATTGTAAAATAAAAGGTAAATGAAAGTTAGCCAATGAGAATTTTATTAATTGTTTAAAATTAAGAAAATTTAATAATTTTAGAATGAGAATTTGGAACTCCTTAGCTTCTCCCTAAAAACCCACTTTTCCTTATATAATATATAGATTTTTAATTTTTTAGGTTGTGCACAAACACCCTCTAAGCCTTGGTTTGGGATGTGGATTGATTTTTTGACTTTTTAGCTATTTTAGTCTTAGGCTAAAAAGCCTCGTTTGAGATGGACTTTTTAGATTTTTTGACTTTTGTGAGAAAAAAAATAAAATGATTATGATTTTGATGTGATATTTTGTCTTATTAACTTTTTAACTTATTTTATTTTTTTGTAACTAAAATAACCCTAATCAAATTCCAAACCTTTATGCCAAACAAACCTAAATCAGTGGAAGGAAGGTGTTTGAACAATTTGTTTGAATGGATTCCTGTATGTATTCAGCCCCTTATTGTTTGATAATGTTGTTTCCTCACAGTTGCTGTAAGTTAACACAGATCTTTTGGAGGCCTAGAGGCTTGGTGGTTGATCAATTTAAAAATGTTAGGAATCTTACATGTTTTATTAAATATTTTATAACATGTTTCATATAAGTGTGAAAACTATATCATATAAATCTCATGTAAATTTTACATTCATATAAGATATTTAATAAAATATTTGAAATTCTTAACATTTTCTAACCAGTACTCATCAACCCAGCTCTTTACTTCATCCTTTATTCCGGGGTATATTTCTTTATTATTTTGTAGTTTTCAAAGTTACATAACAGGACACATCAGTTGATATATATAAAAAATTTATAAAATAGGGTAAATTACATTTACCTCCCCTGAGGTTTCTGACAAATACAGGGACCTCCCCTGTGGTTTGAATAATTACAGTAACACCCCCTACTTTACCTGACAATCTCAAAATTCCCCCATTTCGTCTATTTTGCCCAAGCGACGTTAGTATCCAATAGAAAATGACCATGTGACCCTTGCTTTTTCTTGCAAAAAGACCAAAAAGCCCTTTGTTCACAAAATCCCTAATCAATACATTCACAATACAAATCGAATTGTTCAGAGAAAGAAAAGAGAGAGGGAGGCGATCGTCGTGAACCGATCGTCGATTGTGAAGAAGACGAAAAAGCTTGAGGTTTTGAACCGATCGTCGTTGCCAGTACACAATGTAAAAGAGTTTCATCGGTGAGAAGTTGCTGTTACGGCTTCCAGGTAAGACTTCGAACTCTGTAAGCTTCGAATAGTGTTTTAAAATGTGTGTTGATGATTTTCGAATATTTTTTTCCATCTTTTTTCTTATAAATTTGTTTGTATTCTGTGTTTGATTTGATGAAATGTATGTGAAAATGGTTTACTTCGAAAATATATATTTAGAGTTTATATTTTATTTGCAAAATTTCTGACTGGAAAAAAGGAATTTGTTGAATATTACTATAATAATAGTGTAATGTAGGGATTTAATATAAATTTCTGATTTTTTTTATTTTATTTATGAGATGTATGTTTAGGGCTTTTATTTGATTTGCAATGTTGAGGGCTTTTATTTGATTTGCAAAATTTCTGATTCGAATACAGGGAATTTGTTGAAAATTTATGAATTTATGATTTTCTGGGTGTTATTCAGGAGATGTATGTTTAGAATGAATTTCTGATTTGTTGGGTTTTACTTATGATTGTTTAATATTAGTATAATTATAGTGTAATTTACGGATTTCTTCATGTTTGCATATTTTCTTCAGTTAATTGTTGAGTACTGAGTTAATTTTTACGTCATTTTTCTTCTTTTTCTTGTCAATTTGTCATTGTATGGGCTTGCTTATTTTATTTTATAATTGGTACATCATTATGATTACAGTATGGCTGCATTTCCTTATTTTGATTTAATCATCAACTACAAAGGAAAAGTGGGAAGAGTGTTTGATGTGGACCCAAATATGTATTGCTACATTGATGCCTTGAAGGATGTAACTGCAACAGTCCTGTCTCACATTTCTTGTAGTGAAGCAATAGCAATCACATTGCATTGTGATATGCCTGGTACTGACAGAAGGAGATTAGTAGAAAATGATCTTGATGTGCTAGACATGTTTTATGTGCAAGGAAGGAGTAAAACAATTAACTTGTATGTAAACATAGAATATTCTATTGGAATGAGTGATGGTGGACATAAAAGTAATGTTGGAAATGAAAATCATGGAGTAGATGCTGTAGATGTAGAGCAAGACTACCATACTATAGATGTAGATGAAGAGTACCATCAGGACAATGTTTATGGGTTTAGTGATGAGGATAGGGATTGGAATGCAACTGCTGAGGATGAAAACCAATCAGATGCCAATGAGATTTTGAGTGATGATGATAATGAGTGCTCAAGTGATGATGCTGAACTTAGTGATTACCAATCTGGTGATGATGAAGTGCCATATTCTAGTACTGATGATGATTATGATGATGAAGCAGACTGTCTAGATGATGAAGAGATGAGGTTTCCAGGCATGAAGTATGATGGTACCTACAATGGGAAAGAGCCATATATGAATCAAGATGGAGAAGTTGTGTTGGAAGAAGGGATGATTTTTCCAGAAGTGAATACTTTTAGGGCTACATTAAGGGACTATACAGTGCAAACTGGTTTCAAGATAGTAAGAGACAAAAATGAGAAGTCTAGAGTAACAGCCCATTGTGCTGCTGAGGGCTGCCCTTGGAGAATTCATGCATCTCCACTTCCAGATGGGATCACCTACAAGATTAAAACCTTAGTACCTACTCACACATGTAGCAGGATGAACACAAACACTGAAGCTACATCAGCTTGGATTGCTAAAAAAATGGTTGAAAGTTTTAAGGACAATCCACACATGGGCTTAGATACCATGCAAATGAAACTGAATAAAATGTTTGGGATTGAGGCTTCAAGAATGCAACTGTATAGAGCCAAAAGGAGGTGCAAGGAGGAGCTGGAGGGTGATCATGGGAGCCAATATGTGTTGTTGCCAACATATGCTAGTCAAATCAACAAAACAAACCCTGGCAGCTTGGTTGTCATAAATTATGACATACCCTCTACCCCAGTCTCAGAAGATGGAGAACAACCAGACCCTACCATTCCTCAATATCCATTGTTCCAAAGAATGTTCATATCATTTGATGCAATGAAAGCAGGGTTCATTAATGGATGTAGGCCATTCATAGGGGTAGATGGGTGTCACTTGAAGGGTCCCTATGGTGGTGTTTTAATTTCAGCAGTTGCCTTGGATGGAAATAATGGCTTGTTTCCATTGGCATTGGCAATAGTAGAGGGTGAATGCAAGGACAGTTGGTCTTTTTTCTTGCACAACTTGAGAACAATCATAGAAGATGCACTACCTTCTAGACCATGGACCATCATGTCTGATCAACAAAAGGTACTTTACTGACATATTCAACAACTACTTTACTTACATAATTACAAATGATTCTCTAATTTTAAACTTGTAATGCTTAGTAATGTTTCATTGTTTTTATATGCAGGGCCTTGATAAGATTGTGAGTGACATTATACCGGAGGCAACTCATAGAAGATGTTGCATGCACCTATATAACAATTTCAGAGCCAAATTTCCGGGTTTAATTTTGAGGAAGCAATTTTGGAGAGCAGCAAGGGCTTACAATCAGATGGAGTATGATAAGGCTATGCAAGCCATTAAGGACCTGAACAATGATGCTTGCATTTGGTTGCAGAAGGTTCCAGTTGAAGGAAGGTCTAGGCATGCATTTGATGGTAGGATTAGAAGTGATCACATCACAAATAACATGACAGAGTCCTTCAACAATTGGTTAGGAAATTTGAGAACTCAGCCAATTTTAACTATGTTAGAGGGCATAAGGTGCAAGTTGATGGGTAAGTTTCAGATGAGGTACCAAAAGGCAATGCAATGGAAATCTAATGTCACATTGAATGTGAAGAAACAGCTTGAGGTCACACAGAAATGGTCAAGGACTTGCACAGTGGAGTATGCAGGAGGCAATGAGTATGAGGTGAAGGATAATGAGGGGGTTAATCACATTGTCCATATTGGGGCAATGACTTGTGTATGTAGACAGTGGGAAATATCTGGTCTTCCATGCAAGCATGCTGTGGCTGCAATTTCTCACAGTAGGTTAAACATAGAAGATTTTGTCCACCCCTACTATTCTAAGGCAACTTACTTGAGAGCCAATGGTGGAATGATACATCCCATCTTACACCATAGCATGTGGACACTTATACCTGGGGACCCTTTACAACCCCCACCACTGAAAAGATTGCCAGGAAGGCCAAGGACTTCAAGAAAGAGGGCTGCTCATGAGCCACCAGCTGGAACAAGTCAGACCAAAAGGTCTAGTACCTTGAGATGCAAATGGTGCATGCAATTTGGACACAACAAGAGAACTTGCCAAAGAGGTCCAGTCAGGACAAAACAAGCAACAAATCGAAAGAATGAATTTCCTCCCATATATTAAATATTAAAACATTTCGAAATAAATAAATTTCGCTTTTTATTTTAAGTCCAATATTTGTTGGAATTGATCCTTTAGGTCCAGATAGATCATATCTTGTAAATTTTTTCTTTTTTGTCAATCGACCCTTCTTTTTATCCTTTTCTTTTGCGATGCTCCTTAATGACCAAATAATTGGATTCTCTTTAAGCGATGAGTAATCCAATTCGGTTTTTCTGTCTTGTTTGCCACTGCTTTTTGATCATTCAATATTGCTTCAGAGAAAATTATTCTCAGCCTTATTATTTCTGACTTAAAATAGTCAGTGCAATTTTTCGAAATATTCTATATTTTGATAGAAGATAGAAAAGGGGTTTGTCTCAATAAATATGTAGCATACATATTTCATTACTTGTAAGTGATTCTTTCGGCATTCATGAAAAGGAGGTACTTGTTCGATTTAAACCAATTCGAAATTGAAGTTTTTTTATGAGTAATCCTCCATTCGAATCGAAAGTGGCATTTTTATTC